GGGCACTTAGGTTCCTTCCACATCTTGGCTATTGTGGATAATGCTGTGATGAACATAGAGATGCATAAATCTCTTTGAATTGTTGATTTCAAGTTCTTTGGATAGATACCCAGCAGTGGGATGGCTGGGTCATATGGTATTTCTATTTTTAATTTTTTGAGAAATCTCCATACTGTTTTCCATAGTGGCTACACCAGTTTGCATTCCCACCAGCAGTGTATGAGGGTTCCTTTTTCTATACCACCTCTCCAACATTTGTTATTTTTTGTCTTGGTTATTTTAGTAGGGCCTCTTTCTTTTGGAAAGCACAACTGAGATTGCCAGGCAAGAAGTTGCTTATTGCACAGGTTGTCCTCTGCCCTTACTCCCTAGCATCTACTTGATCAAAGGTCATTTAACTTTTTGGGAAAGCAGGGAACATGGCTGGCTGATTTTGGATTTCAGCATATAGATGGAAGATATTTTACGTTGTAGAAAAGTGAGTTGGTGATGGGGAGTATGAACATAAAAACTCTTTTAAAATGTAGAAGAAAAGAGGAGAGAGGAAAACAATGAGAAATACAGTGGCAAATATGGAAGACAAGGAACAAAGATACAACGTACAAATGATTAGTGATATTCCTAATGGAGAAATTTGAACAGAATAGAAGCAGTAGATAAAAATATACTGGAAGAAAATTATTACATCCCCTAAGCTGAAGGGAGACAAGAACCCTAATAGCACTGTCTCTGAGATAGTAATTTTCCATTCATGTTATCTATGCTAGTTGAGAATTTTAAGTTTTCTAGAAAATAATTCTCATGCTTTTTTCTCATCTGTGTGAGAACATAAGAAAAAGTCAGAAAGTTCCCTGGTTTATGAATCTTAGCACCTCATTCTAATAACTTAAACCTGACAGCACACATAAAAAAAAGCTATAAACCAATCTTATTTTTGATTTTGTGTACAAAAATATTAACGAGAATGCTAGTAAAACTCAATGCAGCAGCATGTTAAGCAAATTACCTTCCACAACCAAGTAAGATTTATCCTAGGAACTCAAGGCGAGTTAGCTATTGAGAAATATTAATAAAGCCATTAAGAAAGTAATTTGATCCTCTTAGCAGACCAATCAATAAAACAATATATCAGTATTCAGTAGAACAATATTCATTCTGATTTAAAAAAAAAAAAAACAAGAAAACAAAAGCTTAACCAGGACCAGTAAAGTCGATCTCATTAAATGGCAGACCGTGAGAAACTAGAAGGACCCTCTGTTAAAATCAGCGGCACAGGGTATCTACCTTAACCACTATTTAACAGTGAGAATTTTTAGTCAATGAAATTTTTCTTTACTTTAAAATAATTGTAGATTAACAGAAAGTTGCAAAAAAAAGAGAGAGAGGTTTCTCCCACTGGTAACATCTTACCATAACTATACTACAATGTCAAAACCAGGAAAATCAATGAAATATTAAAAGAAACTAAATAAGAGGTAAAAAGCCATTGGAAAGAAGACAGTTCACAGGTAATGTGACTTCTAATTAGACAACCATAAGAGATTCAATAAAATGTTTGAAATAAATGAGAAAACTAAGATCACCACACAAAAAAGTACAGAAATTAAAGACTGCAGCTGTAATATCCAGTTAAAAATATGATTCAGGGACCAGCCCGGCCTGGTGGCTCAGCGGTTAAGTGTGCATGTTCTGATTCGGCAGCCCTGGGTTTGCTGGTTTGGATCCTGGGTGGCAGACGTGGCATCACTTGGCAAAAGCCATGCTGTGGTAGGTGTCCCAAGTATAAAGTAGAGGAAGATGGGCATGGATGTTAGCTCAGGGCCAGTCTTCCTCAGCACAAAGAGGAGGATTGGCAGTAGTTAGTTCAGGGCTAATCTTCCTCAAAAAAAAAAAAAAAGAAGGGGACAAGCTGATGAAGCAGCATACTTAAAAAAGAAGAAGGGGACAAGCTGATGAAACAGCATACTTAAAAAAGAAGAAGGGGCCGACCCCGTGGTGTAGTGGTTAAGTTTGTATGCTCCACTTTGGCAGCCTGGGGCTCGCAGGTTTGGATCTCAGGCGCAGACCTAACACTGCTTGTCAAGCCACGCTGTGGTGGCATCCCACATAAAATAGAGGAAGATTGGCACAGATGTTAGCCCAGTGACAATCTTAGATGGATTTTGACAAAAAGAGAAAGATTGGTAACAGATGTTAGCTCAGGGCCTTTCTTACAAAAAAGAAAAGAAAATTTGGAAGCTTTGCCTTACAAGGTCTGTTACAGCATGCTAAAGGTAGATCCACAATTCGTTATCCATGATTTCAAAATAAAAACTGAAAACCGGGAGTTTTTTTGTAGCAGATTCGTCGAGTGGCAAAATCTGACCAGAATTAACACTAGGCTCTTTGTAGTCTTTACTTATTTCACTTAGTGTGAATACTCTTCGGTTTCCCTTGCAGAAATGTTAGTGTCTTTGGTTGTAGGATGTTGCCCCAGCCCTTGCTAGGAATGTTACGTAACAGACTAGAAGACCAGGCTTATAATCCTTGCTAATGTAGAAAAGAGTAATCCTTGCCATCTCTGGTGGGTGCGTTCCTGAAAAATACCATGGATGGCAAAATCTTGTTGGGCAAGATCAGATCTCAAAGAAGATAAGGGATTAGGGGAAAACAAAACAAAACAATGCATTTTAAAAAATTAATAGCCGTCATTTTTTAAAGCAGTTTTAGGTTTGCAGAACAATTGAGCAGAAAGGACAGAGAGCTCCCATATACCCTCTCCCCCTCCCCACCCCACTCCCCAGTTTCCCCTATTATTAACATCTTGCATTAGTGTGGTACATTTGTTAAAATTGATGAACCAGTATCCATGCATTGTTAATTGAAGTCCATAGTTTACGTTAGAGTTTACTCTGTCTTGTACAGTTCTGTGGGTTTTGACAAATGTATGATAACATGTGTCCACCATTACAGTATTGTACAGAATTAGTTTCACTGCTACTGTACTCTGCCCATGCACCCCTCCTTCTCTGCCTCCCCCAACCACTGGCAACCACTGACCTTTTTACTGGCTCCACAGTTTTGCCTTTTTCAGAATGTTTTATAGTTAGAATCATGCATAGCCTTTTCAGATTGGCTTCTTTCACTTAGCAGTATGCAGTTAAGGTTCCTCTGTGTGTTTTTGTGACTTGATAGCTCATTTCTTTTTATTGCTAAATAATATTCCATTGTATGGATGTATTAGTTTATTTATCCATTCATTTAGAGAAAGACATCTTGATTGCTTCCAAGTTTTGGCAATTATAAATAAAGTTGCTATAAACATTTATGTGCAGGTTTTTGTTAGACATAAGTTTTTAATTCATTTGGCTAAACACCAAGGTGTGTGATGACTAGTTTGTATGGTAAGACTATGTTTAGCTTTGCAAGAAACAGCCAAACTGTCTTACAAAGTGGCTTACCATTTTGCATTCCAACCAGTAATGAATGAGAAAAAAATGCATTAAAAAAATTGCTAGAAGGTATGATGTAGAGAAAATAGGATCCGAAATTATATGAATAATACTCAGTTGTCTTTAACAAAAAAAGACAAAAGAACTTGAAGGAAGTACACAAGAATATTAAATAGTTTCTTTAGGCTTATGGTTGTGCTTATTCCTGCCACTTTATAATTTTTTTACCTATTAAACTGTGAGCAAGTCATGCTTTTATAATTAGAATAGTGAAAAGAGATGATAATTCTTTCTTTCTTTCTGTGGTGGTAGGAACCTGCAAATAGTCGTCTACCTCCTCACCTTATTGCACTTGACTCTACAATACCTGGATTTTTTGATGACATTGGATATCTGGACCTCTTGCCATGTCGTCCCTTTGACACAGTTTTTGTTTTCTATATGAAACCGGGTCAGAAAACAAACCAGGAGGTAAGATTTCCAGATTGAGGGGATAATTTTTTATGCAATAAATACGAAAAATTGTACATGGCTTGTGCTTATCCATAGTAGGAGATGAGTTGTACTTGATGCTTAAAGACTTGTGAACAAGTTCTGAAACTGAGTTAATGAAAACTATGATGCCAAGAGTCCTGAGTGTTTTGACTCTCCATGAATGTGATTTAGAGAAGAGCTATAGCATGTCTTTTTTCCCCTTAAGGAATTCAGATTATAAGAGAAAAGAAGTGAAAATACAGAAGGTTAACCACAAGAAGGTAAAGCTAGGCCTGATTGCTTAGAAAGAGTAAAACAACAGCAACAAATATTTACCGAACATCTTCCCTGTGGCTCAGTGTGCCAGGATATGGAGGGGAATAACAGTCTTCTTGTCAGAAGCTCCCCTTTGAGCTAATTTCATGGACAAATAATCTCAGTTGAGGCATGCATAGTGTGCACTGGGGGAAAATAACACCTGAAATTAAGTAAAAGATAAAAACAGAAGACTAAGTAAAACACAGCTGGATGTGTTTCATAAAGAGACTAGGAGAAGGATGAAGAAAAATACAGGATGGGTGAGAATGGGAAGTTGAGAGCAAAAGGCAAGGGATTTGAAGTGTGTGTTGGAAATCGATAGTTGAAACATGGAGTGGGGCAGGTAGTTACCAACTGTCACTAGGAAAGGGCCAAAGGAAGATCTGTGAAATACAGTGTTCAGATGCATAGGGCGCTGTGACTATATGATCTTGGAATTTTACTGTAATCATTGTAAGACCATTAGGTAATCAAATTGAGCAGAGCTTAAGAAATTTCCAGAGTCACAAAATGTTTGTTTATAGTGCTGTTTCCAGTTATTGGTGAGCTGCTAGAAAAGGAGATTGATTTATAAGAAAGTTCTTCTCATTTCATGTTATTGAATCAATAAATATTTAGTAAGTGTCTGCTATCAGTTAGGTGCCAGGATTATAGTGGTGAACTAGATCTTAGATTCATTTCTAGCTGCCAGCCGGTGGCTTGCAAGTTGATTTTGACTCACTTATTGCATCTTGACTAAATTTTCAGAAGTTTTTTATTTTTTATTTTATTTTTTTACGTCAGACAGGTAATGTGCTGACATTGTAACAAGGTTTGTGGGAGGCACATCTCACACAACAGCAAGAACACCCAATCATCACACTTAAGAACTACAAAAAGATCGATAAATTGTTTATTTAAAAGTTTTACTTCTGAATAAAAATTTTAATTTGAAGAAAACTGGAGCTGGCTGTCAAATCAGTTTCCTGGCACTTATAAGAATATGAAGGGATATGGGTGAACTAAACAGTACACTTCTAAAGACAAGAGAGAACGTGTTTAAGAGATGATAGCCTGGCAGTGATGCACAGTGGATTGAGAAGTAATAACTTAACACCCCATATTTTGACTTTATCAGGCCTCCGGATGGTCTTGATGTAGATTAGCCTTGCATGAACCGTATCAGTGATCTGTGGACTGGCTGTATCACAGTCGTTTGGGGGAGCTTTTAAGAATAGTAATTCCAGGATCCTGCCTCTGCTGATTCTGATGTAGGAGGTCTGGAGTGGGCTAAGAGAATCTTACGTTTAAGAAATTCTTTAAGTGGTTTTGATACACTTCTCTCCCCCTTTCATTTTTAATTTGTACAGGATTTCTCGTTTTCCTTCCTTTAGCATAGAGTTTTCAACAGCAGCACTATCACTATTTGGGGACAGATAATTATTTTGGGAGCTGTCCTGTAAGTAAGACATTTAGTAGCATCTTTGGCTTCTCCTCACGAGATAACCAGTAGCACCCCACCAGTTGTGATAACAAAAATGTCTCCAGACATTGCCAGATGTCCCCTGGAGGGCAAAATCAGCTCCATTAGAACCACTGTTTTAGAAGAAGGGACTTTTCTTTCTGAGGCCGGTGAAAAGGCCAGGTGTTAAGTTTGGTACTTAGTGAAGAGGAGAGAACCTTCTAGTCACTTCATTTTTTCCTGGAATGACTACATTCTCTTCTTTGGACTAAGAGAAGGATGTTTTCATGCTCATTTATTAATTATACCTAATCTTTATTGAATTTTTAATAGATTTGTGCTTTTGATAACATTTGTCAAGATTTGTAATTAAATAATCACATACCTATGTAATGTTTCTCACTAATCAGACAGTAAACTCTGAAGGTGGGGGCATAGGGTTTTTGTTTACTTTTTATAAACCTGTCTGGTTCAATAGTTGTTTGCTAGGGAGGGAGATAAGGGCTTTACTTGCATTGTCTTACTTAATCTTTACAACCATCATTATTATCCAGACTTTCTAGGTGAAGAAACTGAAACAGTGGGGTTAAGAAACTTGCCCAAGGCCCAGCCAGCATTTGAACCCAAATCTGTTTAACTCAAAAGCATGCATTTTTAACAATAGTGATATAGTCATAAGTTTATTCTGAGCTTGGACTCGATTTGTCAGACACATCAAAGCTAACCACTTTTTATGAAGATTTATTTTGATATGCTCTTTTGTTGCCTTCATTATAGTTGATGATTGGTATGTATTTCAGATTCTAAAGAATGTGGAGTCTTCCAGAAATGTTCAGCCACATTTCCTAGAATTTTTGCTCTCTCTTGGCTGGTCAGTAGATGTGGGCAAACACCCTGGTTGGACTGGGCACGTTTCTACTAGTTGGTCTATTAACACTTGTGATGATGCTGAAGGACCCGAACAAGGTAAAACTCGTAACGGTCATTTGTTTTTTCTTGTTTTGTTACTCTTGATTTTTTCCCCTTTATTATGAGTTTGTAGGCTTATTAAAAAAACAAAGCAACAGGTGTATAAAGGAGAATCCTCCTTTTCCTAATCCTGGACCTCATAGGAAGTCACTTAATAATAGTTTGCATGTTCTTCCAGACATTTTCTGTGTGTATGTATATAATGATAGAGTTAATTAATACAAAATTAATGGCTTAATTATCATAAGGCTAATAAGTTCCTTTTTTATAGTGTGAGTAAACAAATTCCATTTGCTATAACAATATTATAATAGGGCTGGCGTGGTGGCTCAGCAGTTACGTTCGCATGTTCCGCTTCTCGGCGGCCCGGGGTTCACCGGTTCGATTCCCTGGTGCGGACATGGCACCGCTTGGCACACCATGCTGTGGTAGGCGTCCCACATATAAAGTAGAGGAAGATGGGCACGGATGTTAGTTCAGGGCTAGGCTTCCTCAGCAAAAAGAGGAGGACTGGCGGTAGTTAGCTCAGGGCTAATCTTCCTCATAAAAAAAAAAAAAAATTATAATAATTTTAGGCTATCTATAACTAACAATACAGTTTACTCAGAAGTGTACTTTGTCTAATAAATGTAGTTTTCTATTAAGAGGCATGTTTGATAGACTTTGTGGCTATCATTAAAGGTTACATTCTTGGGATATTATATAAAAACCTTTGTAGTAAACAGCTGACCATCTCTGACAGATTCGTGCCCATCTCTACAAACCCTCCTAAGGAACTATAGTCAGGGTAACAAGTACCACAGCAATTATAAATTTAAACTTGCGAACTTTGCCCCACCTGGCTTATGTTCTTTGTTCTGAGGGCTCCTGAAGTCACCAGAAGGTTAATTTTGTCTCTCTGAAGTAGGTAATGCCTGTGTCCAGTGCTTTGAATTATCAGAGTTCCTCCGTCAACACGATTATACTCTCTCAAGGTTTCCCATTAAATACCATTGTGACTTGTGGCATGAAGATTTTTCTTATTTCAGCTAAGGCTGAAGCAAAGTATTGGGGATATACTCTAATTTTAATTTCCACATATCTTTTAATATGTGCTTGAGTATATTTATAGACTAAATTTCCATAAGTAGAATTGATAAAGGATATAAACATTTTTCAGTTTGATAAAAATGTAAGTTGGATGCTTATTGTTGCAAGTAACAAAACCTGACCCAAACTGGTTTAGATTTTAAGGGTCATTTATTGCTTTACGTAACTGAAAATTCCAGAGATTAGTATACATTTTTGTTGTCACTTGATCGGCATTCCTATTCTATTTCTCTGTAATTTTCCTTCACCTCTGCTCTCCATGTGTTGACTCTGTCCCCAGCCTGGCTTCTCTCACAGTAGGAAAAAGGCATTTCCAGGCATTGCATTCGGTGTACCACACTAGCCTGAAGAGAAGAGATTAGCTGGGTCTCAGAACCTCCCTACTCCCCAGATCCTGAGACATGCAGTGACTGGACCACCGTGAACCTGTTGCTATGGCAAGAGAGATGGAATGACCCTATAGATATAGGAAAGGTAGAGCTGGTATGAAGGGTCAGTCCCACCCACAGTTCAGGCCTGCTTCAGAGGAGGGGAGGGTGAGGTGGGTGTTGAGGCAGTAACCACAGTGTCTACTACAGTAGATGCAAAGTGCCTTCCCAGCCTCTAAACTAGGAGTCAGCAAACTACAGCCCGTGTCTGTTTTTGGAAATAAAGTTTTATTGGAATTCAGCCAAACTTATTTATGTATTGTCTATGACTGCTTTCCTGCTACAATGGCAGACTTGAGTAGTCCTGGCAGAGACCATATGGTCTGCAAAGCCTTGTTTACTGTCTGATCCTTTACAGAAAAAGTTTACTAGCCTCTGCTCTAAACTTCCTGTTGGCCATGTATGTTAGGTATCTTCCAATCTGTTAAATGAGAAATTTCCTGTTTTTTAGTTGTGATTGAGTTTCAGCATCTTTTCGTATTTTTCTTTCTTTCTTGAGAACTACTTGTTAATTTCCCTTCCCCAAATTTTTTGTCAGGTTGTTGGTCTTTAATGTATTATTGGTAAGACGTTGTGTTCATTTTATTTATTTATTTATTTATTGAGCAAGATTACCCCTGAGCTAACTACTGCCAATCCCCCTCTTTTTGCTGAGGAAGACTGGCCCTGAGCTAACATCCATGCCCATCTTCCTCTACCTTATATGTGGGATGCCTCCCACAGCGTGGCTTGAAGCCAAGCAGTGCCGTGTCCGCACCCGGAATCCAAACCAGCAAACCCCGGGCCACTGAAGCGGAATGTGCGAACTTAATTACTGCAGGCCCCTGTGTTCATTTTAATTGAGAACTATGCTAGCTCTCAGGAATGTTACTTTTATTAATTCAGTTTTGCTGGCTTAGAGCAGATACTATTACTAAAACTGCCTGTACATTTTAATATTATATCACTGATCATTGGGGAAAATGGAGCAGAAACAGAGCAGAGGAGCAGTAGAGAGAGACCAGGGACAGGAATGCCATAAAAGCAGGAGAACACACACAGACACCTGCCTCCACCCCTTCAGAGGGACTGTGGTGGTCTTCTTTCTTTTCATTATTTCCTCGTCCAAAAAGACTGTCCCTTCATACAGATGAGCTAAAGGCCCTGCTAATCAGAAGTAGTCTGATTTAGAGTAATTTCAGAAACTATGAAATTAAGATTTTATGATTTAAAGTAGAGTAAAGACATTTAATGAACATTTATAGTTTATTCTTACACACTAATCGGTTCTTGTTGAAAACATACCTTCTTATTAATCACTTTATTAACTAGTTAAAATTTCACGAGCAGGATGATATTGGTTTTTTCCCACTTTTTGGAGCAATAATGTAGTGTTTCTTATTTCCAGATGAAGTGATTTCCTCTGAAGATGTTGGGGCTAGCATTTTCAATGGACAGAAGAAAGTGCTGTATTATGCTGATGCCCTTACGGAAATAGCTTTTGTGGTTCCTTCTCCTGTGGAGTCCTTAAGTAAGAGCATTTTTTGTATGGTGCTGTTTTAGGATCTGTTTTTGTATTCACCAGTTTGTACAGTGTTATTGCATTGGAGAGGTTCTGAAGTCATCCAAGGCATTCCTCGGCTTCTGAGACATGATAGCTTTAGACTATGCAAAGGTACAGGATGTTAGCTTCTCTTAACTTTCTTAAGGAAAGTAGTTAAAGACAAGCAGACTGACCCTCTGATAATTTTTAAATAATGAAGGAGACCCACTTCAACTCATTTTTCGTGTTTCTTTAATTATTTAATCAATATGTAGAAGCCTTGTTTTCCACTTGATTCATTTTTTTCTTTAATTCTGAGTGAGTGCCCACCTATTTCCCTGTTTTTGTGTGAGAGCCTTTGTATGGAACCTCAGAAAATCCTGCAGTTGGAAGGCTCTCATGCTGGCACCTGGCTGGTTTTCTAACATCAAG